TAAAAAAAAAACAGTTGGTAATGGTGACAAATAGTGAATATACCATGGACTGTGAGAAGAATGACCAAATCTTTCTTGGAAGAAGTACAGCCAGAATGCTCCTTAGAAGCAAAGATAGTGAGACTTCATCTCACATATTTTGGTCATGTTACCAGGAGGTTCAAGGACATGATGTAACCTGGAGAAGGACACTATGCTTGGTAAAGTACAGAGTCAGTGAAAATGATGAAGACCTTCAACGAGAAAGACCGACACAGTGGCTCTATCAGTGAACTCAAACATAACACTGATTATAAGGCTTGAGCAGAACCAAACATTGTTTTATTCTCTTGTTCTTAGGGTCACTATGCATTGGAATGGACTCAGTGGGACCTAACAATGCTGAGAGTATTATCTTTCATGATGGGTCAAGCTGAAAAGAAAAAGTTTCATAAATTGGCAGCAACATGAATCTGTATTACCATCTAGTACACTTGGGTAGCCCATGTCAGTCATCAAGTGCTTTTCTTCTTCTGTTGTTGTTGTTGGTATGTGCTGTCGAGTCAGTGTCAACTCATAAACTTGTATAGGGTTTCTGAGGAGCCATGGGTGGATTTGCACCCCCAACCTTGTGGTTCAAACTGGCCTTATGGCCCAGTGCTTATCCTACAGTGCCACACCAGGGTTCCTTTATTCTGTACACCTTCTCATAATGCATCGTATCTTTATGTGCATCAACTAGAATACTTTAGAAAAAGGCTGCTTCAGAAAAAGGAGGGTTTCCCCTTTCCTCCAAGTTACCACATTGCTAAGTGCTGTTAATTAAGTCAGTTTGGACTCATAGTGTCTGTGTATAGGATCCAAGGAGAGGCTGGTGAGCATGAACCCCTGACTTTGCAGTTCCAGCTGAGTTTAAATCCAGTGAATTAACCCGCAATGTCACACCAGGAGTCTAAATTACCACATCTCAGGATAAAGAGTAGTCTGTGAAAATAGCAACTTGTTATTCCCCATGTTTTTGGGATTAAACTGTATTTATTACTTTAGAGACTAGAGTTGTGTTAAGACTAGAGTTGTGTTATGGACACAACTCTAGTATAGTTTAGTGCAGTAGCTACTAAACTCGTGCAGTTAGTTATTGGTCTGAATTGGGATGTGGCTATATGTATGAAATAATTTCAAAACTAATATAAAAATAATTGAAATACCTCATTAATTTTTATTTTGAATACATGATGAAATTATGATGTTTTAAAATACATAACCAAAACCAAATCTACTGCCATCTAATCAGTTATGACTCATAGCAACCCTATATAGGATTTCCAAGACTGTAAATCTGTATGGAGATAAATAGCCTCATGTTTCTTCCCTAGAGTGGCTGGTGGTTTACAGCTATATGTTATATAAAATGTTTTGCTAAAATTATTTTGCCTATTTCTTTTTTTTTTTTTTAATGTGGCTGTTATTAGATTTTAAATTACATAAAAAGTTCTCTTAAGTGGCTCAGTATTTATCTTATTGGATAGTGATGACCTAGATCTCCTAACTACCTGTGGATGAGAATTAGCTATAAATATTTATACCCTCTATAAATGTTTGTCTCAAACCTTGAAAATTAAAAAAAAAAAAAATTGTGTGTGCAGCATTCTTTCATTGCATGATATAGTCTTTGTACATCATGAGTATTTTTACTTGAAAGATGAGTTTATTTTGATTCTTTGCCTGAATTAGTAAAACCCTGCCCCCAACCTCTGGCCAGAGAGTCTTGATAGTGCAATAGCTAAATTCTTGACTACTATACAAAAAACTGACTTTTTGAACCTACTCAGTGGCTCCATGTGAGAAAGACCTGATAATCTGCTTTTGTAAAGCTTACAGCCTGGAAGTATCTATGGAGCAACTCTACTGCATCACCTCGGGTCACCGTGAGTCAACACTGACTCAGTGCCACCCAACAGCAATGCAATGGTTGATGTTCATTTAGTTATATTTTAAAGTCCCCAGAAAATTCCTGACAATTCTGTGACAGGATTCTTCTGTATTCCTCACAGATTTTTCACTCCTTGAAACTCATTTAATATTTCTGAAGTTGTTCAACACTTAACTAGGTTATATTTTTAAATAAACTTTGAAAGTCATATGATCTGCTTTTTTTTAGGTGGGGACAAGACATAGGGTCTTCCTTTGTTTTCTCAAAAATGATGATTTTTCATTGCACAACGTGCTATTGACAAACAGTTACATGATAATGTCCCTTTTATAAGCTAAAGTGTAATCAATCCCTCTTCCAAAGCTTCCTAGTGTCAGGCTAGGTGTTGAGAACACAATAAAACAAAGACTTGTAACTTTATCTCTAACTTCCCCTCTTGTATTTTAATGATGTTTGTTTAGGATGATGCCCGCCAACTCTTTGTGCTTGCTGGTGCTGCTGAAGAGGGTTTTATGACTACAGAACTTGCTGGTGTCATAAAGCGATTGTGGAAAGATAGTGGTGTGCAAGCCTGTTTCAACAGATCCCGAGAGTACCAGCTTAATGATTCTGCAGCATAGTAAGTAATCATAACTTCAGAACTAAACTATCATGAATAATTACTTGCAAGTAAAATATACCTACAAGTCAATTTTATTGCAGACTTGGCTGACACGTTCCTGTACAACTCAGGGTATTCACAATGACAGTATTTAAAAGCCTCTGTCAGTGTGTGTGTGTGTGTTTGTGGGTAAGCAGTATTTTATTTTGCTTGTGTTGAGAAGTATCTCAGGGGATTCAGGGTTATGCAATTCTAATTGAAACATGCAGAATTGAACTTTTTCCAATATATTTCTAAGAAAGTAATTAGAGCTTCCCAAGTTTACTCTGGAGTCCTGGTATGGAGCTGTGGGTTAATGCACCAGACTGAAAAGCCATTTGAACTGCAAGGTTGGCAGTTCAAGCTCACCTGCTGCTCCTTGGAAACCCTATGCAAGGTCGCTATGAGTCGGAATCGACTCAATGGCATTTAACAACAACAACAAAGTTTACTCTGAATTGAGGTTTATAGGTATTTCACCTGGGACCAAACAAATGGGGTGGGGGTGGGTCCATTTAGTCTGCTAATAATGATGCTTGAGCTAGATTGTTGTTAATTGCTGTGGGGCCAGTTTTGATTCACACTGACCCTCTAAAAGTTTTCCTAGAAGCAGTTAGTGGGTTTGAACTGCTGACCTTGTAGGTAGCCTTCCAAAGTTTATCCTACAGCGCCATATCCGGACTTCATAGCATTCTTCAGAATTGCAAATCAAAGCTGGATATTTTTCTTCAGTTCTTTCAGATTGAGAAGTGCCAAGTGTGTTCTCCTTTTTTGATTTTCTACATCCAGGTCTTTGTACATTTCATTATAATACTTTATTTTGTCTTCTAGAGCAGCCCTTTTAAATATTTTATTCAGCTGTTTTATTTACAAGACTATTTAAATTCTGATATGGCTAATAGAGTTTCAGAGGATAATACTAATTTAGAGTTGTAATATTTTTGCCTCTCTGTACCTAGATTTGTTTTCTTAAATTATCTTTCACCATTCTACTCTAATACTATAGACCACTTCAGTGATGTTCTTCATATCTATTGATGTTAGTATGATTTTCAGTCTTCTTAATTAAGGTTGTAAATCACCTTCTTTTCCTAGGAACAAGACTTGACTCTGCCAGCCACCATTGTGTTTTACTGCTTGTCTTGATTGGAATGATCACATCTTTTCTTTCTCCATCACATGTGTCAGGTTGTTATTTATACCCCTGACTGTCCACATGTCCTTTTTAAACTATTATTATCAGACCAATATTAATCTCCTCATACTTGGACTTTGGGCACTGTAGGATAAGCACTCGACCACAGATTGGCTTGAACTATCAGGTCAGCAGTTCAAATTCACTATATGTTCCTTGGAACAAAGTCTACGGCACTTAACATACCATATTTTGGATACAAAAATAGTTTACCATCAATTGTTCATATGCAAATTTAAACTGAAGCTGAAGAAAATGAAAACAAGTCCACAACAGCCACATATGAATATATCTCACCAGAATTTAGAGATCATCTGAAGAACAGATTTGGTACATTAAACACTAAAGAACAAAGACCAGAAGAGTTGTGGGATGACGTCAAGAACGTT